GTCGGTTCCAGGTGATGCCAGGAAATAAATTCGCCTAGTAAATGTCCGAGATGTTCGGTGCCTGCCGATGACGCAAGCGATGAAGGTCGGCTGAGACTGTGATTCACGTTTTTTTGTCCCCTTATCGCTTTATCACTTCCAAACAACGGTGAAACAAGCCCGATTACTCACCTCCATTGAGAAAGGGCGTCAACTATCCATTAGATCTTGTTGGCGACATCCTTAACCCTAATGCACGGTCCGAACAGGTATACTAACGATAAGTAACCAGTCATAGATGATGAGATCAAGTGTAGCTGATGGAGGACCGATCTCATGAGGTGTTCTTTGCGATCTTGTGTTGTTCATCCAGTGGGATCGGATCGCGTCACGGGATATAACTCGCTGGGTTAGAAAGTTCCTCAGATTGGAGGGGCGAGTTGGGGTCGATCTCGAAGCACGCCGCGATGTTGTGAATTGCAAAGCTCACAGCTACTAGGGCTCCGGAATGAAGTGCACCCTCTGCAAATATTCTACAGTGCTAAGATTAGAATTTTAGGGTGAGAAAGGTTTCTGAGGCAGTGGTGAAGAGAAGGGGATTAGGGGGGGGGGGTTGGATGGACTGAATTGTGTTGAAGTTAGGAAGTTTTTGCAAAATGAAAGAGCCAGGCGAAATTAATCTCAGAGTCGCCCATCTCGTATAGTGTGAAGCTTGAAACGGTGGCTATGAAGTCCTCAAAGCACTTTGCACGGCTAAAGATAGAATTGAAGGTGGAGAGAGGGCATTCTGGGAGCAGAGATGAAGAGGCGATGGAGAGGTGCCCCTGCCTGTGCTAGTTATGCTCATCTCGTGAGAGGGACCGTAACGGCTGTCTCTGCTTTTGCAACCAAACAAAACTCAGGCTTTCTTTATCGCTTTCTGTAGCTGAAAAGGCCCGGGCACTGGCAGCTAACCATCCAATTGAGCTAAAATTGTCCCGGTAGGGCCGATAGCAGCATGCGTTTCAAGCAGGCCTTTTTAAGACGGAAAATCGAGCTAGTGAAGCGCCGTGGCTTCACAAGACAATGCTCCTTCACATGGGCATGTGGCAAGAGAATCGCAATTCCGCCGCGCCAGGTGGCGACGCGTGCGACGTCGCGTCCCGCAATAAACGACAATTCTAAGTGGCTATGTCCGAGAATGGACAATTTATGACCAGAAATAGACGTGAGCGCCTACAATGTTCTTGCCTACATGAAATCCGATGCATCAGTAGACAGTGCAGAGCAAATTGAGGAAACGTCGCGCTCATTGCCGCACGCGACGTAGCCGTAATTTAGGATTCTTTTGCCCGTCTCCCCTTCACATGGCCATTGAGTTTATGAAAAAACACGGGCATATTATAACGCTGTGGAAAGTTTTCAAAATTACTACCCCTCCCCTGAACTTCCTTCTTTAGTAAGACTCTCCCCCCCTTCCCCAACTTACCTACCGTTTTACTGACTTTTTCTAAAAACATGCGCCGTCGAGCAGGAGTATACAGAGCTCTTGAGAAAACCGACAGTCGGAGCCTTCAAAGGGAAATATGGCTACCCCCTATGAAGGCTGAATTCACCCCGCCCCTCCTCCCTCCTCACCCCAATATGTGATTTCCTGTTTTCCTTGATTTTCCCTGATTTCCTCAACGATGATGTGCCGTGAGATGGGGCGGTGAGATCATCGAACGCCCTATCCGTCACATTCCAAGACCATTCGCGAGAACCTAAGAATGTCACGTGGCAGACAGGTACATGACAGGGTCAAAACCATCATGCCATGCCGAAAAACTGAAAATTGTGAACACTAGAACAACTAGTCATCACCTATAGTAGGTCATCGTGGACTGATAAGATATCAGACATCATTCTAGGAGATTTCCCATGGGTAATTCTGGACCTTATGGATTCTCAGCATTTTCTTTATGTGAGCGGAGAAAAGAAAGCAATCTAGGATAGGAAGGATGGACTAGGAGATCGTACCACAGGGGAGGTCGACGGGGAGTGATTAGAATGATCCTCCTCTCGGGCCTGCAGAAACCCAATCCTCCAAAAAGGTATTTGCCACACGTTTCTTTTTCTCGGCTTAGACTAGCGTCAGAATCCAGTTTTTCTTTCGCCACTTGAATACAAAGCTTCCTGGCCCACTAACTCTCTTCGCATAGGAAAAGATGGTCGCTTTTTATGATCTAAGAACCCTCCTAAGACTAATCGAGAGGGTGTGTTTTATGCGCTCGTGCAGTAAGTAACCCCCAATGCGTTTCGGGTGTCTGATGGTTGATAGGGAATGTCGAGATGGGATCGGGATGGGAATGCCAACAAGATTGTGACTAGGGGACTTACTGGTAGGTGAGAATCTGGTAGGATAAGGGTGTCTACCACTTAGCCGACGAATTCTGGTAGACACAGGAAACAAAAGCTTGGTTTTTAGCGAAGTCGTCAGGGCTGACGATGACCTAGAGACCAAATCGTCTGACTCTCTCTTGCATATTTCGGCGTCGAATGCCTTCCAGAATATGCAAAGCTAATGAGGCATAACCCATCCCACTCAAGGCACTGCATCGTTGAGGAAATCGCTCCAGTGGCTGTAGGGGGAGTGGGAGGGGGTTGTATCGGGCCTTAAAGGAAAAGTTGCACAATGCTAGCTATTCAGCGAAGGTGCAGAAGCAAAACAAACTGAAATTACTAATAATAGTAATAGGTGATTTTACGATCAAGTGGGGACGACTGCTCCCATCCCTCTCCGAGAGGCGTCGGTTTTTAGAAAAAAAGCCGAAAATTTCTTGAAAAATTAGCAGCGAGTTGAAAGAAGCTGGCAAAAGTGGGCTGGATGAGCAAGGGGGTCCTACCAGAGAAAGAGATTCAGAAGGTTGAACTGCGAGAGGAATTTCGAGGGATCGCCCGGTACTACTGCACTTTGAGAGACGTGGCCGAGTGCATCCACTTCGTTGCTGCGGCCTGTTCCCATCGCTCTACACCTGCCATCAAGAGGTTCGTAAGAAGACGATTCCAACTTCGGAAACTACCAGGGTTACCGAAATTAGAAGCTCACGTTGGGATAGTGCCAGCAACCAGAACACAGCTGTCGTAGACGCTTCCGTTGGAGCGTTCATTGTTCTAAGAGGGTGCAATTCCGACCCAACCTTGATCGTTCATTGGCACTTTGCTAAGTTTGGGAAAGAAACAAACTCGTATAATGACTCACTGTCAATAGGTGGTCGTTATGCCCTAAATTGCCTCAGTGCTATACATTCTTTTCCCCGACTACCATGACACTCACGTACTTCTTAGGCCCACTTTTGCGAGACGAGAATGTAGTCTCTATGTTCCCGTTTTTTTTGCACCCAAAGGGTGCACCGTAGAAAAAATAAACTCAAAAAAGATTACAACTGGCGCAACTGTGAACGAAAAAAAGTACGCAGACGAGAAAAAGATCGAGAATAGCAGACAGGCTGTGTACTAGAGCAGTTGGAGGGTATCAAATCCCAGGCCAGTACGAGGAGATCACTTTCCTCCCCATTAGACCCAGAGAACTGTTGGGGATTTCCCAATTCATTGCTGGGAATACACAGCGAGGAACGCATTCGACCGCTGAGTAGGGAGGCATCTACTCAGAACGGGTCATGTCGTACGTTGGGGATCCTCAGCAGGACAGGCAGTAATTGCTTTTGGGAGCAATGTTTCCGTTGTTGACTTGTCTCGGTCTGTCCCTTTTCATGAGCCCTGCACCCCTTCCCCCACTTCTTGCCGATGGTAATTTCTAGAGCTCAAACTGGAGAATTTTTGGGTGACTTTCAAAAAAAGGTAGGTAGTTGGGGGAGAATTCAGGAAGCTGGTAGACGGAAGGGGGAACCAGAGGAAGAAATTTCGAGGAGAATCGTATTTTGCCAAAGTTTCTTCGGTGGCAGGAGGTACTCTCACTGAAAAATAAACCGGCGAAAAGCAGTCAAGGTCCTACTTGTTTGCGCACCTTGGGTGGTCGATCACGCGTCACCGAGGTGAAGACTAAGTTAGCTGAGTTACCTTCACCGTTCGGTTCTTTCAGGCGCTCTAACTACCTCTAAACGGTCTCCAGCTTTTAGTATAGTCTTTAAAAGGGCTAATCCCATTCGTTGACTCTTTTAGGCTATATGAAGGCGGAGAAGCCAAAGCGTCGGATTTATAAACTGTTATGGCTCACCTAGATGGTTCAAGCTAATTACCCGTCTAAGTGAACTTTGGACCTTCTGAACCTTATAGACACAGCTGACAAGCTTTACACTTATTAGAAACTTTTCACCAATTTTTAGAGGAGCCGAATGCATGGGGAAAACTTCACTACCGCCCTTTCCTCTTCGGATATGTTTTCAGTAGGAAAATTACTGTCCAAACCGAGTGTACTTTTGCCAGTTTGCGCCCATTTCGCAGGATAATCTGCTCAAGTGCAAGGGCACATAGGCACCCGCGCCCCTAGCACGACATTGAAGACCCAAGACTCTATTTCTGCGCTAGAAGGGGTTGGAGGGGGTACTGATGACGTCATTTACCCCTTTCCGCGATACTATTCTTAGTCCTCCATCCCTTCCCTTCCTGTGATACAGAAACAATTTCGTGACAGCTGTGACGCTCCCTAACGTCTCAATTTGTCAGCAAGCTTTAGGATCCTAGAGGCGCAAACCAAGAGCAAATTCCAGTAGAAGGGCTGTGACCCCACTCTAGCACTGAATTCGGCACAGATGGGTTTGAGGGCCCCCAAAAGTACTCGCGGAGCTTGACTGGCAGCCTTGTAAAGTATTGAAACCCGTAAATTCCTGTGACCAACGTAACTCACTCGCACAGTCTCGAATCTACACAAGGGTTTATAGTCTCCGGCGGCCTTTCTTCTAAAATGAACTAACAAAAGGAACTAGAAGGAAGTGCAAACTGCCCCTCCGAGCCCAACTTTATTGTCAGACTCACGTCGCTTCACCCAAACCAGCTTAGTGCTTTTCGCAGATCCGATACAATCAAGGCTTTCGAATAGACCTATGGAACCATATCGCATTCAATACAGCTCAAATAATCTATTGTACTATCTCTCGTCAATTCGGGGAGCGAATCCAGTAATTGACCAGATCGCATGCTTTGCCCCGAAGCCTCTATTTGGGAACTGTTGAGGGATGCATTGATGACAGCTGAAAGATCCAGGAGGAAAAAACTAATCAGAAGCCCATGGTGTGAGAAGAACACGCATAGTCCACGCTAGTTGTATGGGCGGAGTCGGGGCCACATTTGGCTATTATTCTTGGAACGCCCCTCCCATATGTCAATTTTGAGTGTGCCTTTGAGGAGTCTCACTGAGGGTTCAGAAAAGTAATAGGGTCAAAATCGTACTCTCGAAAAGGTGGAAATCTCCATCAAATGTAGCTCTCTCGGATGCGCCATGCTTTTGACCTACATTCGAAGTGATAGTATGGGATAGACACGACATAAACTATCCTACATTGGGTTTGGAATCCCGACCATTATTGGTGGCAAAGCCTTCTCCCAGTAGGCCATGAAATCAAGCTTGGAATGCTGGGTGGAGTCGTCTAGAGCGGGGCTAATGTCCGCCCATGTGGTCTGTTGGTGACGGCGATTATTGATGGAGGGGTGATGGTAAATGAAAATTCGGGGGTAAACCCGTGAGAAATTTTATGCCTATCTAGAAATCAAGAAATTCGATGAATATCCGAAAAAGTGGGCGGGGTTGTATGGGGCGGGACTTAGTATCAATAGCCCGCCCAGCAGGGATTTTGAGGGTGCGCTTCAAAGGATATGACAAATTTTCTGTCAAGACGGGACAGAAAATCACCCTGTGTACCAAAAACGACCCACTGCAAGATCAAGTACGACCCGTGACGAATTCTCGCAACGATGTTGCATTCTGCTTTTGATGCCCCCTCCAAGGCTATTGGCGCCCAAAATAGTGATGATAAAATAACAAAGAAAACGAGAATTTTCAGTTTTGAGATCGAGGTGACACCATTTTCATAATATCCTTTTCAGTGCACATTGCAATTGGCCGATTCCGAGTACGTGATTCGAGCGAAACGAGCCGAAAAGGAGACTAAGGAAGAGAAGGCCAAAGACGAGAAGAAGGCCGAGGCGGCGAAAGAATCTAAAGAGGAGAAGGAAGGGAAAGAGACTAAGGAGGAAAAAGAAGAGAAAGAAACTAAGGAGGAGAAAGAAGGGAAAGAAGCTAAGGAGGAGAAGGAGGAGAAGGAAGGCGAAAAGGAAGCGAAGTCCGAAAAAGAAGCCGAAGCTGAAACGAGTGGAGAAGGAAGCGGCGAAATAAGCGGTGAAGGAAGCGGTGAAACGAGCGGTGAAGGAAGCGGCGAGGAAAGCGGCGAAGGTAAGCGATCGATAATCGATCGGAACTTGCACGATTATTGAGCCTATAGACAAAACGTTATTTTTTGCAGCTGCAAAAGAAGAAGCTTCTGGAGAAGGATCTGGCGAAGAGGCATCCGGTGAAGGATCAGGTACGATCAGCTTAGCGCCCAGTTATTGATTTTTTAGTATGCATGACTGTGTTCCAAGCGATCAATCGATAATTGATTTCTCCTACATACATTATACTTTAGGAGCTGAAGGAAGCGCCGAAGAGGAGAAGGCGGAAGAGAAGGAAGAGAAGAAGAAAGAAGAAAAGGAGGAGAAGAAGAAAAGAGAAAA